GTGGGGGAAGGATCGGAGTGGCCACAGACGCCTGGCAGAACCGCTGAGATAAAGGTGTGGACATTCTTTTCTTTTGGTATCTGTTCACTGGTCCCTTGCTATCTGCGCACCTCCATTCGGGTGACTATAGGGGTGCCTGAGCTAGTGGGCACCCGAGCCCCACCCTTGGAGGGTTCCACTACTCATGTACATAGATCTCCTCGAAATTTAAAGAGACAGTTTCCAATTAAAACCAATCGGCCACAGCTGGCCCTGAACTGTTTCCAACTAGAAAAAAGGCCTGAACGAGGATTGTTGAGCGGGACAAGCAGACAAAAGAGGAAATAGGCCAAAAATTAACCCTAAATTATGTCAAAATGACCAACAGTGGTAACTTGAAACTTCTCAGGAGGAAGAGTGAAAAGGGAAGCCTATTTCCTGATCACATCTACCTGGAGGCATTCAGAAAGCATAAAAAATTCCAAAATACACACCCATCTAAGTATTAAGTCCATAGATAACCCCTGAAGATGCCCAAAAAACAGAAGCAGATGACCATATCTGTACATGTCCAGAAACGAGATAAAGTGACTGAGGCAAATGAGCTGGAAGTAAACCTACACTCCATACTATAAGATGGGCAGGCTTTGGAAATGCCTGAGAAGGAATTCCTAAAAATGATTATAAAAGGCATCAAAACACAATGAAAATAATAAAACTCAATTTTCAGTATGAATCCAGGTATAAAATCTCTATCAACCAACACGAATATAAATGTAATCCGTTTTTTTTACAGGTAACAAGCACAACTTTACACTGAGTGACATTTTATTCATATGTGTGATCTTTTAGAAAATTCTAAAGATTTACCTACCAAGTGCAGGATGATATAAACTGTTCTCCTTGCAGATGTTTGGAAAAATATAAGGCAAGTAATATTTCTTAAAATGTAAAAACAAAAAGGAAAACCCCCTTTCTTGGTTTTCTTTGTTCTTCCATTCTAAACTCTTAACCTATAATTAAACAAAATAATTAGAATCATTCCAGGAAACAAAGTCTTTTAAGTATAATTATTAGCTGTTATAATTCAGTAAGCTTCTAAAAGTATATACAATTCACTCAACTGTTACACTAGGAAGATTATATATATATATCATGAAATAAGTCTTTAAAATTGGTCAAATAGCATAGAAATGTACTACATATACATCAAAATGATAGTTCTCAAAAATCTTAGAAGTTAAAATATACTCTGGAAAACAATGAAACAAAATTTGGTCCTAGTAATGGCAAACAGAGTTATGTACTATCCTCTATGTCCTCCTTTCCCTTGCCAAAATAATTTAGCTTAATAGGTACATGTGGTAGGGTGGGAAGTAGCAGTAGTAGTAGTCACATGCAAGTAATCAGAGCCTGAACACAGTAAACAGGGCATCTAAAGAAGCTCTGGTAGCACAGTGGTTATGAATCAGGCTGTGAACCTCAAGGTTGGCAGTTTGAGACTACCAGCTGTGCCACAGAATAAAGATGAGGCAGACCTTCTGCTCCCATGAAGACCTGCAGCCTCGGAAACCCTATACAGGGTCACTATGAGTCAGGACTGACTCCACAGTACTTTACAACAACAACATAAGTAGGGTACAGCAGAGGAAGCAGCCCAGGGGTTGCAGAGCCTGACGGGTAAAAGGATATGCACAAATGGGAAGGGAAAGAGGGAGCAGAGACTATAATAAAGAGTACAGGCAGTATAATACAGGGTGGGGGAACTCCAACATGGAGAAGGGAGGGTATCTAGGTAGGAAGCTGGCAAAGGCCTAGAGCAGAACATTGGATCCCCAGTGAGAACAAGAGAATGTCTGAAGAAAAGGGCAATATTGGTAATGGGAAAATTATTAGTGGTAATGAGAGATTAATTCACAAAGAAAATTGATTAAATAAGTAAGTATCCGGAAGGTAACGAAAGCCAAGCTTCTCATTGTCAGAGGAGAAAGTAACAAAAATAGAAAGGAAGAAAACAAAAATGAACACTTGTAGTACTGATATATCTGGGATATTAGTATGAATACACTGTTTTATATATATATATATATATATACACACACACACACACACACACATATATATATATATATATATACACACACACACACATATATATATATATATATATATACACACACACATATACATATATACAT